CAGTTGGTAGATGTTTGCCATTCCCCTGATGTTCCTGCATACCCTGCATGTTTGCCATTCCCCCGATGTTCCTGCATACCCAGGAACAGCAAACATTCCAGATGTTTGCTGTTCCTGGGTATGCAGCCTCTTCAACTCTGCCCATAGAAATCAGCAAAGAAGTCGTGTCTCCATCGATTTCAGTTAACAGAACTGAAGAGCCTGAAGCCCATAATCCACCGGTGATAGGATGTCACAAGCAAAGGTAAAAGCTATTGCTTTGCCTCCTTTCTACTGTTTTCCAGACAGAGGAGACTGACAGGGAAGGCTGGGGCAGGAGTGGGGAAGCAAGCCCCAGGTTTTAGGCCTAACTCATCCCCAGCTGGACTGGAAATGGGCTGCAAGTATCCAAGCAGGAGAGCCCCACTTTTGAAGTCCTCTCTTTCTCGCAAGCTGGCCCAATCCTTGTATGCTGCTTCTTTACCTCCTAGGCACCCTCCTATCTAGAAATGAGAGATTGCGCCAGTCGTCTGACATTCACTCTCCTGGTGCACAGAGAAGCCTCCATGCTGCATTGAAAGCATCTGGGGTGGTCTCTCATGGGCCGTTGTCCACTGCAAGGGGTGCCTTCAGGGAGAGCCTTTACAATCCCAGTTCCTTTCCTGTTCGTTTCTTAAGGCTGAGGAATGGGAGGGATGAGATGGAACAGTTGCCATATCTCTGCTCCATCATCATGAGAGAGAAAGAGAACCCATCCAGTTCTGCTTGGGCACAGCTAAGCCAGCCCTTTTGAATCAAGGAGTTGGCTTTTGCTGCTCTTGAAGAAGAAGAAATCCTCCCTGAAAACCCTTCCTGAGGAACACCCATATTTCTGAACAGAAGTGCATTTCCTCCATAAAAGCACATGATTCCCCTATATGCTATGTGAAACACCTCCAAACATCTCCTAAAGTAAGACTGGAAATTGATGTGGAGGGTCGTTTACAGCTGGAGTATCCGACAATTTGGGTGCGAAGCAAATAGTTTTTATAAGGCCAGCAAAATAAAGAAGGAAGAGTCCCATGGCACCCTAAACATCATACATGCATAATGTTCACATGGTCTTGGGTAATCTTTCATGCATCTAAGTCAACTCTGGCTCTCCATGGTTTAGTCCATCACTGCTTTGTTAGTCTTTAAGGTGGCAAAGAAAGTGTTGTTTCTGCTGCAGTGGAATAGAAAGGCAACTCCTGTAGAAGGTAAGACCAGTGACGTTGCCAGGAGGAAACCTGCACATCCCTAGGATGACAATAGATCTCACCTGAAGCAAAATTTCCAGCTAGGTTTCTTCCTCATATGAAATACCTGAACAATACTGAGGAAAACCAAAATGTTTCTAAATAATCTTACTGAAATTGGGATTGGATGAGGACTGTACTTCCTCATCTTCTATTTCAGACATCACCCTAGTCATGGAGTACACCCAGGGCCATGACTTGTGTTCCCATTTGCACATTCTCTCCCACTTTGGGTCTACTGAGTCCCTACCTATCAATCTGCCTACCCATAAGTAGAAGTCCTTCTATTGTAGAGTTAAGACGGAAGCAAGATGAGATTTATGGGGCTAGTTCACACAAGCCAGTAGCCCACAGGGGTCAATCTTTGCTCAAGGGGCTGCAGTGCATGTGATAAATATACAGCTCCTGACTGGGGGTCATCAAAGATTGTTGTATTGTTCAAGCCCAGCCTGTGAAAAATATTTGAAAGTAAAATAATCCTTGCATAACTCTTCATCAGACAGTGGGTTATGTGAGAGTTTTTGGATCCTACCACCCAGGGTCACATGACAAGACAACCCCCGGTCAGGGTCTGCATAATCATAATGGTGTCCAGCATGTACCAAAACTCCTCAAGGGTAAATGAAGCTTTGGTGGGCTCCATCCTACATATACTGCTGAACAAGAGTTGTACAATCTTCTTTTCAGCCACTGTTTTGTTCTCATGGGATAGGTGTGGGATCTCTTAACCTTCAGTTCCCCACTGGCACTGTGACCTTCTGAGTGGGGCACAGTGACCATACCACAATATCTAAAGCTAAGTAAGCCAACATGCATATGTTATTCTGGTTGTGAAGCAACAGCAGTCATGAGGAAATTGTCCACAGCAGGACCCACTTTTTGTTTGGCCAAGCAAATTACAATATTGTCACATTCTTCCTGCAGCGCTCCCAGCATGCTCAGCTGGGCCTGACTGTTCAAATAAGTCTCTCTCTCTCTCTTTTTCTAACTAGAAGAATGCTACTAGCTAATTATCACAAAGGGACACTGGAAAGAAATTCTGAGGAACTTGGCAAGTCACCACTGCAGAGCATTAGAAGGATGTTCTTGTAAACAAAAACCTGCAGGCCATATTATATTTCTGCACCTGCTTCTCTCCAGTTCAATTAAGAGATGATGTGCTTCTTTGTTTCCTATGGCTTGGCCTTTTCTGCCTCATTCATGTATTTAACAGCTGTGAAAAGGGAGATCTGAGTATTCTTTTCTGGGCTTGAAATATAGTGTTAGCTGTTTAGATACCAAAAAAGAAGAAGAAGACTTTGTACCTTGACAGCATTCCATCCCCGTGCTGAGAGGTCCAATGTGCATTCTTTTCTGGATGATCCTGGAACTTTGGAACTATTTTGGAACATCCAAAGTTTCATGAGGTGATGGAATGCGTGGATCAATGATGCATTGTTTGATTATTTACTATTGATTGGTTACATGTACTTTCCTTCAAGAAGCCAAATTACGTGATCTTCCTCCTCTCCATTTCATCTGCACAACCACCCTGTGAGGTAGATTCAACCCAGAATCATGGCTGAGCAGGAACCAGAAACCAAGCCTCCTGAGTCCCAGTCCAATGCTCTGCCACTACAGTCTGCACTGGTTCTCTCATTACATGACTCTGTGCCACTCTTGTTTAAATATGTCTATAGGCATATCAGGATCTCCCCTAAAGCCCACAATAGTTGATGAATAATTGGATTAATTATTGATTAATTATTGGGTTCTGTGACTATATTGATCTGGGTCAGCTCAAGAAGACATACAATTAATTCTTATAAGGATGTGTCAGCTAACCTTGAAGGTATTTCTGTAGTAGTCTTTCTTCACTAGGAATAAAGAAAGACATTGGAACACTGGACTATACAAAGAGGAGGTAATCAAAAGACATTCAGAGGCAGAAGTAGCCCATAAAATTATATGGGCTACCTGCAAATATTCTGAATTTTAAGTTGCCATAGCTAGGGTTTATACACGTCACATTTCCTCTGTGAGGGCCAAATTATACTGACATTCAATGTGCCTTTTCTTCTAAGATGCAAGTCTTCAAAAACTCTTTCTCATGGTTCTCTAAGCTAGAGAATTACCTGAAGCTAATGAGGTTCTATGTTATGCAAAGCCTCTCTGGAATGACTTTCTCTTTTGCTTGCATGAGGATGATGTCAGGAGCCTGAAGTGATGCTTGCTTGTTTGTACATTAGATAATAAAGGTAATTGGCTAGACATACTACTTGCTTTCTGGTCTACAAAGGGAGCCAAGTGCCAGGCATCCAACAAGTATCAGTCTTAGCCAATGTGGGGTTCATCTAGGTAGACCTGATGGCTACAGACATGGCTATGAGGGGTTTTAAAAGGTTAGCACTGATACCTTGCAGAAGTCCCATAAAAGCAGCCAGTCAGTGCAGCCAGTCAGTTCTTGGCTTCCCATAGAACCACTACACTATTGGTTAGAGTATTGTTATGGGACTCGGGAGATCCCAGTTCCAGCCCCCACTCAGCCATGAAGCTCACTGGGTAACACTGGACCAGTCACTGACTCTCAGCCAAACCTACTTCACCGGGCTGTTGTGAGGATAAAACATAGAGCAGGGGAACCCGGTGAGGTACTTTACGTAGGTTTCCCTGCAAGGGGGAAAAGGTGGAATGGGAAAGCATAAATAAATAAATGTTCATCAGAAAATAGGCAGCAGTCTGCCTGCACCTACCATACTGACTCATTTTTATGGGTGGCCCTGTGCAAACAACCTTGTCATAGTCAACCAGGGACATGTGGGTAAGTGTGGCAAGATCTCTCTGAGCAGTGTCTGATTTCAGGAGAGAGGCAGCATTTGTGGAGATGCCTTTGTGTTTCTTGTTTTGCCTAGTTGTGCTTTTATCTTTTCTGCATCCTAAGTTTAGCCCAGCTGAGATCTGATTCACACTTTATGGGGAAATTGTTTCTGAAACAAGCACGGCTGATATTCCCTGCAGTGAACACGTAGGCAGCGTGACAAAGAGGCATGAGTTAAACGAAGGAGTGTGGTACACATTATCATTTCCAGCATCTCTTGGATCAGCACCTGTCTCTTGTGCTCCTACTTGCACTGTCTTAGATTTAAGATACCTGCCCTCCCAGCTACATATATAGAAACATAGAATCATGAAACAGTAGAGCTAACAGAGGCCTAAAGGCCATTAAGTCTCAGTGCAGGACTCCTGGTTGAAGCATCCCTGAAAGATGTCTTCCTGTAACTTGGGCCATTATTCTGTGAAATGCTCTCTGGAGGAGAGATCCTTGCCCTCCTGTGTGCAATAGCAAATGGAGTTTCTCTTACCCCCCCCCCTCTGTCTTCTCTGCTCCAGGCCAAACGTGCCCTGTTTGTTTAATCGCTCCTCATGGGGTATTCTTTTCAGTCCCTTGATCATCCTTGGAAATTTTATCTCTCTCCCCATCATTTGATTTTCTGCTGCTTTCCAGAATACATCTCCCCAAAACAGAAACATAGGAAGAAACTCCAACCTAGCTGTTTTTCCACATGCAAGCCAGTAACAACACTACATTCCCTCATGTGTATCTGTGTGTGTACTGTAGGGCAAACTAGGAGATTGCTGGATTGGGGAAGGTGATATTTCTGTTCAAAGCAATATCATTTTTTTTAAATTACAGAAATAAAATTCATAGTGATGTTGACAGTCATTATGTTTATTTGAATGAAATTTTCTGCTTTGTGTGAACAGAACTTCCAGTGCTGTGAAGCCATGCTTGAGGCTGTGGAACAGCAAGATTTAGATGCTGTCCAGATCCTTCTCTACCAATACACGCCGGAGGAACTGGATCTCAACACTCCCAGCAGTGAGGGATTGACTGCCCTGGACATCGCTATTCTGACAAATAATGTGCCCATTGCCAAGGCTCTTTTGAAAGCTGGGGCAAAGGAGAGCCCACACTGTAAGTATAGCCAAATGCAAACATTTGCTGGGTTGTACAGAAAAGGCCAGCCAAACCCAACGCTAAGTGGCATCCAGACTTATGTGACTAGCAGTACAAGTGTTTACATTTGACGCAGGCCGACAAGTGGAAGAACTAGAGCAAGCACTTAGAAGCACTAGATGGATCACAGGGTGGTGCCATGTGGTTCTGCACATGCTATCCCAAAGGAAGCACATGGGAAAGGCCACTTATGGCCTTCGCCTGCCATACACAAAGTCCTCCTCAGAGTGCTTTAGACTTCCTGAGCAATATAAAGGGCTCACATTCCTGCTACACCATGTAACGATCGCATCCCTTTTTGAGAAGTGAGATTTAGATGTTGTCATTTTTATCTTTCATTTAATTGTGGCATTTCTGCCATGCCCAGATGGCAGCCAGTTGACCGACCATCTAGGCACTATGGAAATACCAAGATTAGCTATTGCATAAATGATGGACAACATTAAAAATAAGATCAGTGCAGACATGAAACCTGACAGCATTTGATAAGTTGAATTCAGGTGATTATATTCTACAAGTATATGACAGTGATATGCTGATGGTAATATTAATTAGGAATTTGCCACATTTGATACTGCTACACCTTTCAAAACAACCGCTAAAACTCCCCCAATCCCAAATAATAATTACCAAGCCCCCTGTCCCAAAGCTAGTAGTATCCACGGCTGGGTATTCAAGCTAGAAAAGCTTTTTTAAAAAATAGTTTATTCACATCTTCTATCATTCTTAGTTATGGTTTTCTTCAATCCTATACCCCCTTTCTGGAAATAAGCCCCCATCAAACTCAGTAGGGATGTTTAAGCAGAAAGGTATAGACTCCTGCTACTGAAGGAGCTTTCCCCAAGGTAATCTCCCTGCCAAAATCTGTGTTCAAGTTCCCTGGAAATTTTCTTTTCCCATGATGGAGATTCCTCCACTTAAGAATTTATTTTCTGTTTCCTTTGGCTGTGTTTTGGAGCTTGCTTTCTCATTGTGAGGTGAACAAGGGTGCTGGGCACATGGTTTCTTTCTGCTACACATGCCTTCCTCACCCTGCAACCTACCTGACTGCATTTCTGATCAGAAAAGGCTCCATGGTAGGAGAAGCTCCTGATGTTCTCCTCTGGGCTTAAAGTGAAGTGTGGAAATCCAAGGGGACGACAGAGGACCAGGCTAGTGATTTTGTACAATGAGAGACAGGAAGTCACAACCCCCGTGGCTACTTCCTAATGAATGGAAGGAAGAAGAACCCTGCACCCATGCATTTTTCACACCTCCTGTTGAAAAAAATTCAAAAGCAATCTCTTTTCTATGCCTACTGGTCCTATAGTTTTGTTGCCTGCCACCTCAATGGATGTTGGGAGACCAGAAAGGAACAAAGGCATCAAACATGCTGAAGTTATGCATCCATTCCAACATCCAAAGAAGAGGCATGTAGATGTGATCCTAGAAAACCAAGCGTACCTACCTGTTTCATCCATTTAATATGCATTCCAATCAAAATCTGAATTTGAATTCAAGGGATGCCATATATCAGGAGTACGCGTACATTTTAGCTCTTTAGCAGATGGAGTGTGCTTGGTGACATGTTTCTTTAAATACCAATACTTCATCACTGGTTTATTAACATGCAGCATCAAGATGCTCTGTCACACACTGATTTTCTGTCAAATTCTCTCCATGTTAAGTTTCTCCGTGCATGCGGATGCTTAGGAAAACCAACCCATGAAGTCAAGATTGTGCTATTGCAATAGCAGAAATGGCTGGAAAACTTCATTCTTGAATTGTGTTCTGGCTCTTCCTTGGACACATGCATATCCACAACAGCGTGGAGGCATTTTGGACATGGAAGCACATTTTAGCTCTAATGGCAAAACACAAGTTTTAGCAAATAAATTAATAAAGGTGGTTTTCCAATGGTGATCTACAAACTTTATTTCTTTAATTTGATGTTTGAAAAATATTAGATGTTGTTAACTTATACAAGATCAAAAATTGGAAAAAAAAAACCATTTAGCTCTACATACAACTCTACTTGGCTGGTGTGGATATGTGCCATCAAAAAAGCCTAGTTTTCAATTACTTTCCAGTGACATCCACGAACCTATTGCTTTGTTTTGTTTCATTTCTAACAAGTAGCTACATTTTCTCTAAATTGCTCCCTCTGGTTTACTGTTGTTGTTGTTGTTGCTGTTGCTGGGTTTTCGTATATTTTCTTATTATGCATATCAAACAAGTCATAACAAAACCAAAAACAATAAACGAATTAGAAAAAGAAAAGATATGCGATTAGTTACACTGCATAAAGGTTAAGGATATTGTTTGCAACCAATACATATGGAATGTATATGCCATATAAATTGCATGCACACAAGGAAATATACTACTTTCAGTAGAAGGAGTTGCATAAGTTTCAAGAAGGCAAGCAAAATATACTCATATTTATCCATGCAGAAATTGTGTCTAAAGTTTTTCACCTTGAAAACATCAATAGGTACTCAATTCATTGCATTATTTCATTATCCAGGGGGACCATTTATTCACTACCTGCACACACACTCCACTTTGGCCCCCTGACAATTAATTTCAGATGAGTGCAAAATTTGGGCCTCCATTCTGCAATTTGTGCAAAGTTACACAATTTCTGCAACATTATGGAACAGAGGCTCACATTTTGCATAAACTTCTCTAGTTTTTTTTTTAAATAAATGCAGAAATCATGGCCCATTTTAAAAATGGCAATCTGCATCCTTTCTCAACCAGTGACAGATTGAATCAGCACCAGCGCAGGACTGGGTCAGGGTTGAGAAAATCCATTATATTTTCACCCTCTTCTTCACCCCTCCCTACTCAATGCATCTTACTCATGCCAGTTAGTTTCCCCTGGACATGAACAGCACCTAACACTTTGTTACAACAGCATACATCTTAACAGCAATATTAATTTGTTAGTTAATTGAGTATGAGAGTTGTAGGCTGTAGAACTGGGCAATAGATTGCAACCTTAGGGTTTATTTATTTTTAACAGCACCACACCGCACAAGAGACTGAGCAACTGCACAATAAATAAATAGACAAATAAATAAACCTAGAATCCTGAGCCCTGGAACTGTTTTGGTCTTGTAGGATCCTAATGAAAGCCAAGTGAAGTCAGTTGAGCCTGGCTGGGAGACGGAAAACTGACAGCCAGCCACAAATGCAATCCTTGTATTTTGTATGTGTGGTGTGCTGGTCCAGCGGCTCCAGAGGCCAACCCTTGTCCAATATCAGCATGAAACTTTTACACTAAGAGCACTTAGAGTGGTTTATGAAACTATCCTTTGTCTTCTTTCATGGGACTGTCTCGCTACCTTTTTGTTTGTTTGTTTGCGAGAAGGAAAGCAAGTGACCTGCTGAGTTAATTAATCATGTTTAAGCCATGACACAAATTCTGACGCCTGACCTGTGGCTAAAAATACACTGATGTCTACAGATTTTGCTTGAAACTGTCAATGCCTATATTTAGGCCTTTCCCAGCAACTCCATAATGAAACTGTGTTTTCAGGGATTCAGACCTAGCAGATGCTGCCATTAATTTGGAGTTAGTTAAATTAACAACATTTAGTACTGACCTGTCAATCTCTGAGCTCCAGGAAATTGCACCTTGAGGCAACTAATATTGCCCATTTTTTTCCACTGGGCTGTGTGTGCATGGGAGTGCGTGTGCTCCCCCGCTCTTGCACTTTTGCTAGGCCCTCAAAATTGGTGCACCTTTATTGCCACTTACAATATCATTTATCCTGGCCTCCTTTAACCTTCCCAGGAGATTATTCCCCATCACCACCCCTCACATAGAGTAGCTGCTCAATGAAAAGAGTTGTGTAGTTTTGTATTTGTTTGTTTATTTTTCTGTCATGGTTCGTGACTGGAAAAGAAAAACCCCATGGGTGACAGGGTTCGTAGTACATGATTGACGGCTGAAGCAACATTCATTAGGCATGACAAATCTACAGGAAAACACAGCCTGAAGTGTTCTAAACAGCAGTTTGGAAAAGAAAAAACCTAAAGAAAGAAGAGAGAAAAAGACTAACCTAATTTTTCATTGACTTCATCTGTAAATCAGTGCAGTCTGATGGCATGCAGGGCAATCATAAATTAGTGTTCATTTCCTGTCATTAATACAAGCATGTCTGTGAACACAGAGAATATGAATCTATAACCACTTCATTTCCATTTTAAAAATACTGCACTGTGCTTATTACCATTTTTTATTTGGCATTCTGCTCCAGCCAGGGGGCATATGAAACCTGAAGGTATTTCTGCACACATCTATCCCTATTGAGTGGGAACTGAGTGTACAAATAGCTGGCACTTCCTAACCCACCGGCTAGGTTCGGATTCAAATCACCCTTGTTAGGTACTATAATTTTGAGAAATGAGCATTCAATCAAATAGTTGTGAAATTCAAGCTAGCTCAGGGAGATCTTGTGCCACAAAATGGTTTCCTTTGTTTTGCCGTAGATTTGTTCCCAGATTTGTTCCCAGATTTTTCACCAAATTTACTTGGGAGTAAGTCCCACTGAATGCAGTAGGGCATTACTATGCACAGGCCTATATTATTATTCCTGGAGTCCTGTTCCTCCCCACCTCCTCTCAACAAGCCATGGCATGGAATCCCATTGAATCATTTAAGCCCACCTTCCAATAAAGTTGCTCACAGTTTTGGTGAACTGTGCTTATTTATTTAGGTGCTTTCCAGAAAGAAAGCAACCCATTTTAGTAATGCCAATCAGCAGTGTGCTCTCAGGACCTGGATTTAGGGTGCAGTCTTATGCATGTCTGCCCAGAAATAATTCCAACCTGAGGGCACAATCCTATGCATGCTTAGACCAGAAAAGTCCTACAACTTCCAGTATGTACACATAATGAATTCTTATTAAAAATACGCTTGCTCTAACAAAACCAGCTAATCTTACTATGTCTCTGCCTGCACTCATATTAAAGCTAAAGCTAAATTTGGAAGGATATCAAGCAAACTTGGAAGAATGACAAGCAAATTCTCATTCAACAAAAATGATTAAATTTATATTCTAAATTCAAAGATAGCTTTCAGTGCTCCCACTTGACAATGAAAAGGGTGAATGAATGATGCATAAGAGTGCCAAGATTCTCTGCACATTGTCTCCATGTGCCCCCTCCCCATTCATGTTTGTGATGTTTGCTACTCTCAGATGGGGATCCTGTACAACTTGGGCAGCAGTTGAATGGAAAGTCTGTATAAATCTCCCCCGAAGTGTGCAAATCCCCCCCCCGCCCCCAGAGACAAAATCATGGCTGATCCAGTCTAGGAAATTTGTGCAAAACAAACTGAGCACTGGGAAGGCAACTAATATCGGCATGTGTTGGACAGGTCTGGCAGACACACTCCTGCTCATATTTGGAGTGTCAAATGGCGCATGCTGACATGTTTTGTGAGTGCACGCAAAATTCCCATACATGCCTAAAGAAGCTGCTGTGTTCAAAAGTATAATGCAAAGTGCTGCTGTGCAACGAAAAGTGATATTTAACAGTGCCAGGAATGCATCAGAGTTAGAGGAATTGAGGGTCCTTCAGAAGCAAATTTCTTAAACAGAATGTGTAGCAATGCAATCCAGTGCAAGCTTAGGCAGGAAAAAATTCTACCATTTCCAACCATTCCACAAGTGGGACTTTTTTCTGTTTAAACCTGCACAGGATTATATGTGGAAAATCCAAAATGCTGAATTTGAAATCTAAATATTAAGTTTGTCTGAAATTTTATTTTGTCCAAATGTATTAATCTCTGTAAATTGCTACTTTGTGAAAGGGGTAGGAGAAGAAGTGCAGCTTCACTGAGAGACATTCAGTATACAAAGTGAATCAGGGTCGAACCTTGCACCCCTCCAGGATTGAGGCTAGCGGTTCCCTTTGGGTAAAAAGAGCAATTTCTGTCCTCTGCATTCTGACGCCCCTGTGGCAGAGCGGTTCTCTGATGAACCATGCAGCTTGTAAACCACACAGGACAGTAGGATGAAAGCACTTCTTCACTGTACATGCACACCCTGACCCAAGGGGATGGACCACCCCAGTGCAGAGAGCAAAACCAAAACAAAAAACCATGCTCCTCCATGTACCTAAAGATGACTTGGAGTGACCTTCATGTAATCTCCTGCTGGAGGCTCCTGATCATGCCTTAAAATTACCTCCTGCTGCTCCCGTCTTCAGAGGTTAGGTGAGTGGGTGACAACCAGGAAAAGGGAAGTTTTGGCCTGAGTGTCCTGGTTTGCTTTGTTTTGTTTTATTTTGGTGCAGTATCTTCCCCAGACATGTTTGCTCCAGATCTTCACGGCTAGCCTTCTACCTGTAGACTCTCACTGGGTACATCAGCTATTTTACTGCTCTTACAGTGCTGGTTATTTAATGGCAGTGCTGCTGTTTCTCTTTGATGTTACTACTACTGATAATTTTTGAGTTTGTGGAAATTTCCCCCGGATTTGCTATGTCTTTAGCAAATTATTATTGCATGTATATCCTGTCTTTTTTCCCTCCAAGGTACCCAAAGTGGCTGACATAGCCCTCTGCCTTTCATTTTCATCATCACAACAACCCTGTGAGATAGATTAGGCCATGAGTCAATGACTCCCAAGTCCCATTCCAGCACTGTGGCCACTGCACCACACTGGCTGTGATTGTCTTGTCAGCCACTGTTGAAGTTTTAATGACAGGCAAGGTAGGCACATCCCTAAAGGGATATGCCAGAAGGCAGAAATGTGGGCTGAAGAGCAAACTGAACCCAGGACCAGCACTGTGTGTAAGGATTGGGCCACTTCTCTTATACTACAGTTTTCATGGATTCATAATCAGAACTAGAAGAAGGGGCAGGACTGAGAGGCCACAGCCATCGACCCAGAGATAAGACAATCTGGAGAACCAGATGGCTTCAAGTTCTGTGGGAAACTTGATTGGGAATGCAGAGATGTGCAGGGGAGGACTAAAAATCATCAGAATCACGTAAAAATGGCAGATCAACTGAGAACTGCCAGGCATTCTCAGTGACTGCTCTGCAAGAAGCATGAGCCACACTGATGGCAGAGACAGCCCCTCTCACTTTGGAAGGAAGGAGAGATATTCCGTTGGAATCCAGTTCCAGTCACACTCATTAAGCCACATGTTCTCAGTAGCTAGTATGCTAATTTCATTTGCATATTTGGTTATGGATGGTTAACTCTATGGTTAACCCTAATATAATCAAGATTTTAGTTAGCAAGTATTTTCTCCTGGTCTGTTTGGAAGGAGAAGGAAGAAGACCAGCATATGACACCATGCATTGCAGCCTGCCAAGTTCTTGATTAACACTTGCTTTTATATTAAGAGGCAAGCAGAAGTAACAGGAAATATTGAGGCCATGATTGGCCACAATTTTTGACTTGTGGGTTAAGACAATAAAATGAGCCCTGTCTAGACCAACATCCATCTAGACCAACATCCTGCTCCCTATTTTTGCTCACCGGATGCCTCTAGGATACCCTGGAGCATAATCCTCTCCTGTTGTTGCTCTCTGGTATCAGGTGTTTCATGGTCTACTACTTCTTAACCTCACGATCATTAGCCACCACAAATTTATCCAATTATCTTTTAAAGCTGTCTAAGATAGGGGCAATAACTGCGTCTTCTGGCATTTGGCCTGGTGGGTCACAAGTTTTGCAGTTTTCTAGGACCACTTGTGCTACTGCAGAAGTTTTGGGGAGCCACTTCTTGGGTTGCAGCTGCTTGGGTTGGCAGAGTGGTTTTGACAAGATGTGATCAATACCGGGGGAAGGCTGGTGTCTCCTGTGTCAACAGTGCTTCTTCTCCATTGCTGTTTTTATTCTGATCTTTGTAAGAGCTATCCATGGTTCTCCATGGTGGTGGATCTATTTTGGGGGTTGCCTGCCACACTGTATATGGTTCTTATAAAATTCAGTATAGACTGAAATAGATAAGGAGCCCCACTGGCACTGAGGTATCCACATTTTCTACCCCACACCCAAAGTGAATTAAATTAATACTTCTACTGTGTAAAGGCCTGACACTCATGCTGTTCCCTTTTCCTGGCAGTTGTCAATATGGAGAACAGGTCAACTCATCTCAGCAACTTATTGCAAGAGGCTCAGCAACGAGTGAATGATCTGTCTGCACAAATAATGAGTGAAGGCCTTGGTACAGACAGCTCTGAGAAGGAGAAGCAACTGAAAGCCTGGGAGTGGAGATATCGGCTCTACAAACGCATGAAGTCAGGCTATGAACATTCCCGTAAGAATGACTGGTGGTGGGGCGGGATGGGGGGAATGCATGGACCATACAGCCTCTGTACAAGAATAACTGGAAACTTCATAATACACCAATTCTCCGGTTATTTCTCACTAATACTGGTGCTGAGTCTCCATGTTATAGCTGGTGAAACTGGTTTAGAGAGGATAGGCAACCTGCCCAAATGAAAATGTGAATGAGTGGTGGAATTCAAGTGGAAGATGGCAGGTAGACGTTAGTGCAATTATGAGATAGTTTCTTAAGGCCTCTGCTGCTGAAGATAAGAGGGAATCATTTTTCTATTTTATTTTTCCATTAAAATACATTATCCTTTTCGCAACACAACCATACTTATTCCCAAGTAAATATATGAAGAATGTAAGAAGCTAAGAAAAGCCTTCTTGGAGCAGACCGAGAAGCTTATCTGGTCCACCATTCTCCTGACGCAGTGGCCAACCGGCTGCTGCAGGAAGCCCACAAGCAGGACAGCACCCTCCCACCCAAGCTCCCCAGGATGTGGTGGGCATAAGCATGCTGCCCCAGATACTGGAGACAGCCCAGAGCCATCGGGACTAGTGGCCATTGATAGGCATATTGCCCATGCGTTGTCCACTCGTCTTTTAAAGCCACCCACACTCATGGTCATCATGACATCCCATGGAGGTGAATCCCATAGTTTAGCTATGTGCTAGGTGAGGAAGTTCTTGCTTTTATCTGCGCAGAATCTCCTACCAATCATGAGATGATCCTTTTGCTTCCAGTATTATGAGAGAGGGAGAAAAATGTTCTCCACACCAGCAGGGCAGCGGCAGGATACTCCATTCCAGTAGTTTAAGATGATGATGATGATGAAGATGATGATGATATCAAGGATGAGAGGTTTTCCTGTTGCTAAGATACATGAATACGCAGCAGGAAGCAGAGATGTATTCATTGTGTGCTTCCTAAATGGAACAATATGCATGTTCATCTGAAGGTTCATAAGAACCTTCCAGGGTCTAAAGTTACCCAGCAGTATCACTGGTCTGGACTAGCATATTTGCCACGCTAAAGGTACAATATTACGACCCAGAATAAGGGGGACTTCTTAGGTACTGTCAGTCCTCCATGACTGGTAGCTGTTACTTATTAAATGGTGAATCTTCAATTCTTGAGCCAGACACCTATGTTTAGGTTTTGGTACTGCATGCATTTTTTACATTTACAGCACAATCCCATGGGGATGGCCACAAGCCCCTAGACCAGTGATGGCGAACCTTTTAGAGAGCGAGTGCCCAAACTGCAACCAAAACCCACTTATTTATCTCTAAGTGACAACACTGCCATAAAACCTGAAAACTGAGGTTTTAGTTTAGAAAAAACAACTCACAGCCAGTCCAAGCATACATACATACATACATACATACATACATACATACATACATACATACTTACATATATATATCCTTGGCAGCTCACTGACTGGTCATGCGAAAATTGGACGAGTTGTGGCTAAGGAGTCGCAGCACGTGACGTCATTGCCTGGTGCCACTACTCCTTGCCGAGCATGTGCGTGGCCCCTGTGTGTGCTGTTATCCAGTGCTCAGCTGCTGGGGCGATGCTGGGGCGACTTGGCTCATGTGCTGACAGAGAGGGCTCTGCATGCCCGCTGTGGCAATCATGCCATCGGTTCTCCACCACTGCCCTAGACTCAGAGGCTTATGGTCATCCAACACAGAGTGGGAGGAACAGCAAGGACAATCTTCACCATCTTCACCCCCCATCTCTCGCCCTGCATATCTCACGAGACAGGCTTTATTGCCCATCTAGCTGGGACATTTCAAAGTAGGAGGCACAGAGGCCAGAGAGACATCCAACACTCAGGAAACCCTGCAAGCTCAAGCGTTCCCTCTCCGGCCTCCCTTTCCACCTTAATATAAGCCTTCCTGGTTTCCTATGTCCACAGATTAGCATGATGTCCAAACCATTGAACTGTGGTTTGTGTGTTCTCTCCATGTCAGGATTGGACACAGCAGCTTGATCTGTTTGAGCTCATGACCTGCAGTCCTCACCCAGTGTCTCGGGGTCAGTGATCAATTCAGCGGGCTCATCCTAAGAATCCTCATTCCTTAGAAATGCAACTTACTAACATTTCCATCCTGCAGTTTCTGAAGTTTAGCAAGGCTAAGGCTGCAAGGCTGTATTCATTGAATTAGAAATTAGGGCTGTTGAAATTAATAGGATTTAGTTCTAAGTAGACATGTAGAGTGTTGCAGCAATAATTTGTTTCTCAAATGGGGTAAAATATCAAGCAATTATTTAAGCTCAGTCATATCCATGAATTTGCATATTTAGCAATCATTTGAATCAAGTACTGAAATCCAGAAACAAAATAAACATGAATGAATGAACTCCGTTGTTCCTTGGTGACCTCTGATAGTATACGGCTGACATATATCGAAGATGTGTTTGATGGAGGAGGGATGCTAGTGCTGTCCAGAAGACCTGAAGGCCATCATGGAAACAGCTAGTGCGATCAGATCTCTTTAGCAGGAATGGCTTGCTAGCATTCGAAAGACAAACAGAAGCAACTTTAAACCAAAGCTCACCACTGCTGCACAGTTTTGACGTATTTCATTGATGACCCAGAGCACTGTTTGAAAGATATTTCTTCTGCATGACACATGGTGTTTTTTCTTTGCTCCCAGGAGCCCCGGAGGCACCAACCAACGTCTGCCTTACGGTAACAAGCAGTACATCACTCACTGTCACTTTCCAAGAGCCTCATAGCATCAACGCAGCAGTGGTTACTAAGTACAAAGGTACTAGATCTGAATCAATCTCGTGACCGTTCGTTGAAACAAGTTAGACTGAATTGGGCTTGGCAACCTTTCCACAGTCCAATGTTAAGCATAGATTGGATTGAAATATATTTATCGGAACATCTGTGTATCAATGATGTTTATTTAGATGTGAGCTACTTCCCCAGATTTTCCCATGAGCTCTGCTGTCCAGAAGTGAAGTAGAAGGGACGTAACTGCATCATTCCTCTGAATTTCTAGCAGAGGCATCCACATGCCGCAGCTAGAACATGTCTTTATTCTTTTCGGCACCAGGCTAAAACGTCATGGCGTCGCATCACTTTATTCCTTTTCAGCGCCACATCACTTTATTCTTTTCTGTGCCAGGCTAAAACCTTTTTTTATTTTCCCAATGTTTTAAGAATTGATTGTTTTAATAAGGGTTTTATTGTTGATTGGAATAAATTTATTAGGATGCTATGTTTTATTCTATTTTGTGTTATTGTTAAACTGTTCTGAGACCATGGTAAGGGACAGTCTAAAAAGTTTTAAATAAATAAATTATCCCATGTTCAGAACAACAAGGGGAAGGGACAGCAAAGGGCCCTCTTGGCCATACAGGGCCGCCTGCTGGATGCTTATTGTTGAGTGGAAGTGTAGCTGTGTGGCCTCCTGTCCCTTCATGTGTCTGCTTCCAATCTTCATCTCAGCTGTCCTTCCACCACCATCGCAAGAGAATGCCTAGAGTAAGATTTCTTTTGAGCGCTGTACTTCTTTGGCTGTCTAGCCTCCTTTCCCTCGTTTTTCTGATTCTCTGGCCTTTGTACCTGACACACAACTTTCTCTTTCCTTATTCCCCATTGACTCTACCATTTCTATCCATGTATCATTTTTAGTTCTTCAGGTCTTTCTTCATTTCCCTCTTATTACAGTTCGCTTCAGGCTGCACCAGCTTTAAATGTATGCCGTCTGACTCTACCTATAAGTAGGGAATGGGTGTATCTGTCCATTTTGGTTTCATCAGGTTTCTTATTTTTCTGATTGTGAATTTGTTTGGCCCCTCCCTGTACCAGTCTGTAAATTCCACCCCCAAAGAAGACAGGCTTCTTGAAAAGGTGTGGACATTTGAATGGACATTTCTTCTAATGCATGTATTTTTGTACACACTTCTTCTACATGCACACTTCTTGCAAGCCAGTGTGGTGTAGTGGTTAAGAGCATGGGACTGGGACTCAGAGGATCTGGGTTCTAGTCCCCGCTCAGCCATGGAGCCAACTGGGTGACTTTGGGCCAGTCACAGACTCTCAGCCCAACCTACCTCACAGGGTTGTTGTGGGGATAAGAAGGAGGAGGAGATGTAGGCTGCCTTGAGCCCTTTGTAGGAAAAAGGCAGGATATAAATCGAAAAATAAAATAATTTCCACTAGCAAAATGGGCTTCTTTCCAATGCACTTTCCCCCCATGCATGCATTTTTGCACATCTTTTCTTAACAGACACTTTCTTGTCTGCGTTTTGAGTTGCACATTCTCAGTAAACTCTGGAATTCGGTGCACAAGTTTCTTCTGATTCATTTATCAGTTCAGGAGGAGCAGTATAAACATTTGGACTGAACTAATTTATCACCATTCTTATCTATAAGTCGGTCCTATCCCAAGTGATAAAGCAGGAAGGAAGGTTGAAGAATGGAAAATATAGAGAACAAATTGTGATAAAAACAATAAGTATTAGCCTTATTACTTATCATAAAAACTGTTGTATAATATTGAGGCATCTCGCAAGTGAAGTACCCCCCCTTCCCCTCACAAACCATTACTGTGCTTTCAAATATGCTAATGTCTGGTGGGGGAGTTCATATGATGGTGGTGGTGGTGATTTTTATTATTACACAATCTCCCCCTTTGTCCTCTTGCAGGGAAGGTGACTTGCATGGTTTATCCTTCTCTCCATTTTATTCTCACAAAAGCTGAGACCTGAGTTATAGGTTAGGCCAAAAGTCAGTGACTGGCCCAAATCCACCCAGTGAGTTGCATGGCCAAGGGGGGACCAGAATCCAGGTCTCCCAGTTCCCAGCCCAACACTCCCATCATTTTGCCACATGGGTTTCTCCTTATTTTCTAAGGTATAAAGGCTGCTGGATCTTGGGGCAAGATGCAGATTACACAGAGCATAAATCTCATGAAGAGAAGCTTACTCCTCTCTCCTCTCTTGGGCAAGGGCCTTCAGCAGCAGGTACTTTGCATCAAAGGAGAGATGGGAGGAAAGGGAGTACTTAAGCCTCCACCTGTCCACTGTTTTTCCTTGGAAACTTTCCTCCTCCAGCCGTTCTTCACCTGCAGTTATTATTATTATTATACTGCATTCATATCCTGCCTCTTTTCCTCTTGTAAGGAATCCAGGGTAATTTACATAGTTCTCTTCTACCCCATTTTTATCCTCACAACAGCAACCCTGTGGGGTAAGTTAGATGGGAGAGTTTGTGACTGGCCCAAAGTTACCCCATGAGCTACATGGCTGAGTGCAGACTAGAACCCGGGTCTCCCAGATCCTCAGTCCAGCACTCTGACCACCACGCCACACTTGCTGTCACAAAATTTCCGTCACAGATACGAGTCTCGAAGCCCACAGAGGCAATAGTAGGTGGTGGAAAGTGGGAAAATAGACCTTCAGGGGATGTAATGTTTGTTTGCCTTTAGCTTTACCAATCTGAGTGCTCTGTTCGAGAGCACTGAGAGCTTTAAAATATTCAAATAATTCCACTCATACATCAAGTCCGCTGGCAAGGTAGGGTTAAACACTCTCTTTTCTTCTGTTACTTCACAGGCACAGGCTTTTGCAAAGGAGAAAGGAATGAGAGGGATGCATTATATAAGCTGAAATGCAATTATTTTTCTTAAGTTTTAATCTTTGGCTTCCATTTGGGTTGCTTTATTCATGCACAACATAGTTTGGCCTTAAAAATACTTGATGATAGCCTTGGTGGTTGTCCTCCAGTGGTTATACCTGAATAAATATTCCAGGCTGAAATCAGTTCCATAAGAATAACTGGCCTTGGCTCAGATGCATCAGTAGCAATAAAGCATTAAAAACTATTTTATTTATTTATTTTAAGTTTTTCTAGACTATCCTATAGCAAATGCTCTCAGAACAATTTACAGTTTACAGCATAAAAATACTAACAGTAAGATATGCATTGTAATCATAACAATTCAAAAATAATAACAAAAGTTAGCAGGAAAAATAAAATAATAATATACAACACAAGACACTAGTCCACAGCAACCAAACATCATCTGAAAAAAACCAATATAGGACCATAACCATCTATTCAATAGTTAAAATAATGGGAGAATAAAAGGAGTTCGACCTTCTGCTGAAAAGTGTACAGTGTTGGGACCAACCTCCCTGCAAAGTTGGTTCCATAGACACTATACATTTTTTTTAAATTGCAAAGTCATGCCCAAGCCATTAGGACAACATTCCTCCAGGCTCCCCTGTCCTCCACAATCCCTTGGAGTCCATTCAAGCCCACACCCACTGCCCCAGTGACTCCATCTAGCCACCTCGTTCTCTACGGTCCCCTTCTCCTTTTGCCGTCAATCTTTCCCAGCATTAGGCTCTTCTCCAGGGAGTCCTTCCTTCTCATTAGGTGGCCAAAGTATTTGAGTTTCGACTTCAGTATCTGGCCTTCTAAAGAGCAATCAGGGTTGATCTCCTCTAAGACTGACTGGTAATTATAATAATAATAGAATCTATGCTGCAGAGTTTTAAAAGAATCAAATGAACAGCAAATCCCTTTTCTGTCTCCCTCTGGTCTTATTCATCATGAAGGTGGATTTCAGAAATTGCCGCAAATTGGGGCAGGGGGGCTGACTGGATAAGTAAAGGATTGTTGGATCATCATGCAATAAGGATCCTTTGTGTCACTCCACAGAATAGAGATGCACTCGCATGATATATCTTCAGAAGCTAGATACAACTCCTGATCTTGCTGTTCTAAACATGTAGTGATGGGATCTTCCTTTCGCATCTGATCTCCATGATCAGAGATGCTGAAGGTCAAGCCTGCAGGCCAAATCCCAGCCATGTGGGGTCCAATCCTCCAAGGCTTCCCAGGTTGTCATGCCCCATTCTCCTGGTCCAACCCCCTTTTCCCACTGGATGATGGATTTCTGGTTTTGGCATGTTCCCTCCTCCTTCTAAAAAGCTAAGTTAGGTTGACTTGCTGACAGTACGAGCTTTAACTACAATGTGCTGGTGCTGTGAGTATTTTGGCCTCGAGGTCCTCTTGCCTTCTGCCCCCCCCCCAAACCCCTGGAATACAGACCATGGGAACTTGATTCAAGAATTGAATTTGATCCTCATGTTGAAAGAATCATGTTCTAGGATTATCGGAAGTCCTCCAAATTCAAAGACAATATGAGACAATCCTCCTGAGATATTCTGAGGGAAGAAAGTTGTGGGTTCTCTCTTATTCTTGGATGGTGCAGTCCAGCAAGACCTGGACCACATGCTTCTGCAGATAGCGTGGCTTAGATGTGAGACACTTGGCAGCTGCACAGTATGAGAGCCTGGACTATTCAGATGCAATGCAGAGTAGAGCAGGTCAGCTAGGTCCTTATATAACAAGAAGTGACATTAAAAGGCCCACGTCAGTGTTGTTGTTTGTTTTAGCCTCCATGAGCTCTGCCCTCAGTGCCTGAAGCTTCTTATTTCCATCCTTCACCTCAAAGCTTGCATGTTTGTCAGAGAAAGCAAGATTTTGCAGTTTAAGAGGCCCCATGCTGAGGAGAGAATTTCTTTGATCCTTAGCTCCATCTTAAGGATTTGGTTAGGGAAAAAGAAATCATGCAGAGTATTAAGTGCAAAATGTGCTCTGCCAAGAAAGATCTCTGGGTTTTGGTTGGTTAGATTTTGGTTTTTGCTTTTGTTTGAAAAATTAGCACTCTGAAAGAAAAATATTTATGGCAAGTTAAAGCATTCAGTTTCATGAAAAGCATATACCTGGGCTGCTTTGAAGGTG